GAGAAGAGCTGTCACAAAACTGTGTTGTCAAAGACCCTTCTAGCCAGTTTTTGGATAAATGAACATGAATTATCTGCTTTGGGCTGAAACATGCTGGTAGACTCCCTGAAATATTGTTATTTGAAAGGTCAAGAATTTTAAGATTTTGAAGCTGACAAAAGTCAATAGGAATTGGACCTTCAAGAACATTATTGGGCATGATAATTTCTTGCAAGTATGACATATTTCCCATCCAGCTCGAGCTCCTTCCAGAGAGATTGTTATTGTTGAAATTTATTGAAGACAGATAAGAGCAGTTTGATAGGCTTTTTGGGATACTTCCAGAAAAGTGATTGCCATTCAATTGTAATTCCTCCAACTGGAATAAGCTAAATTTCTCAAAGAAAATCTGGCCTTGCAGATTGTTGTTTGATAGAATAAGGGACCATAATGATGGGCAACCTATGGTTAACTTCTCAGGTATTCCACCAGATAAGTTATTGTGAGATAAATCCAAATACTTCAGCAACTTTATATCACCAATCGAATGGGAAATGCTACCAGTAAGAGAATTTTTTGAAATGTTTAAATATTGTGAACTTGGCAAAGATGCTCCGATCTCCATTGGAGAAGAAATTTTTGGAGTTATCTAGATCTTCCAAACTCATATGAGAATGAGCTAGCAACTTAATAGGTCCAGAGAGGGAATTGTTAACCAGCAAAAGTTCGTTCAACATTGTGTTGTTTTCCAACAACCAAATGGGAAACTCTCCAGTTAGGTTAAGTTGTGAGAGGTCTAAAGTTTCGAGGTTGTGTTGAGAGTAGACGAAGTTTGGAATTCCTCCACAATCTCCATGACCAGACAAAACTAAGGTCTTTAGTTGGAAAGTTGGTTCCAAGGATTCAATGTTGGTATGTACATAAAATTCGTTGTTTTCAGCATAAATATGCTTGAGGTTTGAATGGTTGAAGAATGGTTGAAGGGAGATGGGAGCTTGGAAGTGATTGTCTGAAAGGGATAGGTAATGAAGGGATGTCAATTTGTTAAGGGGTGATAGAGCTATATCTCCAAAAAAATCTATTTGAATCGAGGCTTAAACTCCGGAGAGAAGTCAAATTTGCCAAACAGGAAGGCAAGGCTCCCCTGAAATAATTGTAGCTAAATCCAACTCTTAAAGATGTGTCAATTCACAAAGGCCCATGACCATATACACCACTTACAAAGTTAGTCAAGTAGCTTAAAAGAAATTATATTGAGTAAAAATAATTAAATTTGGACAATGGTTCTTGTTTCTTTAAATTTGTAATTAACCTTGGTCGGTTAAGGTGCCACTGAGTCCGCTGCCCTGTAGTGATAGAACCTTGAGAGAAGTCAATGTTCCAATGCCATGAAAGAAGTTGGTTGGGAGGATAGCATACCCCAAAAAACAACTCCTCCACTTTGGACAAGTTATGAAAACCTAATAAGAAAAAAAATTAATTATATTATGTAATCTTCTGTCATAATTAATAAACTTAGAGCAAGGACATATATTTGTGAGAAAAATATTCTTAGTCCCTGTTTCAATTTTTGCAGCATAGAACAATTAAAAGCATCAAACCAGACGAGAGTTAACATTAATTAACCATAGAAAAAGGGAAAAAAAAAATACACAAACTCTCTCTGCTGCAGTAGATCAAGACAGCATTTGTCTCTGCAGCTATGAGTTATTCAAGTTCAGGACACAGAAACAAAGACCTTGTAACCTTACATATCACTCTTGAGGAAAACAGTTGTATTGTTCTCAGAAGAAATATCTGAGATCCTTTTTGTGCCGAAATTTAGCGGATATTTTGCCTGTTTGTTAGGGAAGAAAACCCCAAAATGTTTCTCCAACTCTGGCTGCTTTTGGTTCTCATCAAACATGGCAAATAGGTAAGTCTCTATGGCTCTGCCAGGCCTCTTTGGGGTACCTCCTTTGACATGCTTTATCAAATTTGAGTAATATGTGCGTGCGTTATCAAATGTTGCTGCAAACGCTCCATCAGAGGGCCATCCACTCTCTGAAACAACCACATCCACAGAATATTGTCCAGCTCTTTCAAGAGCAGAGTATAAGGCATCCAACATAGCATCAAAAAGGTTTTGGTAACCCCGGGAACCATCCCATATGACAGGAGACGGGGAAGTAAAGAGGGCATAGGGAAGAGATATGTCCCTCGGATTACCGGCATAGCTGAAGTATGTGTAAATATTAGCAAACAAAGGTGTTTTTGCATATGTGAGGTGGCCAATTATTGGGTCTATATATTTCCTGACATCTCCGCGAAAGGCACCAGCAGATGGAGGGTATGAGTTTCCTATAAGGGTCATGTCAATTGCAGTTGAAACCTTGATTTGGTCCTGGAGACCTGCAGATCTAATTGCGTTGAATACGTTCACCAAGGCAGGCAGAACATATTGAGCAATGGAAGCTGTGCCTGGATTAACAGGACTGACTTCATTCCCAACAGCTATGTACCTGAATCTGACACTAGGCCAGTAGCTCAGCACATTTCTCTGTACCCATGACTGTGCATTGGAAGGGTTTGAGAGGCTTTGAAGATCGGAGTTTGGGACACCTATCATGAGCTCAATGTTGGAGCCTCTAAGAGCTTGAAGAGCTGCAGGATTAGGATCATAGATTCTCATCCGCTTAATATTGTGTGATCTGAAGAGTTGTATGACCTCTGGCGCTGATGGCAGATTGTTACCTAGCATTCCATAACAGACACCCACTGATTGTGCACCTGCATTATATAACTTGGACTAAATGAAATCTGCCTCGGAAAGTTTAGTAATGAAAGAAATTAAAGCACCTACTCCTGTGTCCTGTCATATTTAGATTAATTAAAACAATCAAGCCAGAACTACTAAGTATATATATGGATATGAAAATACTATTTTCTATGTTTCAGAGCTTTTGCTTTTATATTAAGCTTTTCTAGCCATAATACATCCAGATCTTGATCAAGCGAATAAAACATAAGCCTGTGAAATCAGAAACTAGAAGAAGCTAATGCTAGAGCTTGGTAACCTAGCAACCTGGCGTTAACATGCCAAAGCAAGACAAGTGAGCATCAGTCTACCTTATAACAGAACATGATATATACGTGCAAGGATAGATAGAAGAAATACCTGCAGAATCGAGGCTTGTCGAAAGGAGTCCTAGAAGCACTAGTATCAAAGCCATTAAGGAACTTATCCTTGTAAAAGAGAAAGTAGCCATGGAGATGGTTGCCTATTAAGCACCATTTAAGTTCTTTATATAGACAGTTTTCTAGTTGCTTACCTACATTTAAATTTTCAATTTTTCTTATCTCTCCACTTTGTAAATGTCCCTATCGCTCACTCTTTTTTCTCTCTCTAGTGTTTTACAAATCTGCCTATAGACGATATTTTCTTTTGGTACGATTTGATAATAAGCCATACGACAAAGATAGCACTCACAAATCCCTTCTCATCATCTTAATGTTTAAACTTAAAATCTCTAATTTGAAGTCTCAAGCTCTAACTCATCGAGACAACCAAGACAGCTAAGACTATGAGGTTTTTTGGGCAGCCAATAACAGTACAAGTAGCCTGTTAAAGAAACTGGTCCTAGTTTTGCAAAAAAAATAAGGCTGCCATCTTAGCTGATTTGCCAAAAGTAAGGCTGCTACTTTTCCTTGGTTTTTCCAATGGAAATTTCCTTACTTTTTTTAATGGATGATACCACCAACTCTATCTCTAAATGAAACTATAGGCTATAGTCAACAATTGGACCATTTCCTTTAGGATGTTTCCACTAGTGCCATGAATTGATTTATCACAATCACCCAAAGGCACCCCATTTCTATCATTTATGCACAGTTTAAGGCTTTATCCGTTAGAGTACCTTGATATTCCATTGGAATATGCCACTTGCTGACTAATCTGCATATATGGTCTTAGGCAATCGACAAATTAACGTGACAAACCGACCAATGATCTGGTCTACATTATGACTTTTGTAACAATTGTAATAAGTGATATTGTCCATATCTAAATAACACCGTCTGCTCTACTGTAGCCAATGGATATGATCAATTGAACATGTCAATGTGGTATTCAATTTAGACTAAAAAATCATGGGGGTAGGCAACATCAATATCAACCATGACCATCCGTGAGAAAATGATAGATATCTAACTTCACATGGCAGAGAGACATATGAAATTAGACTTTCGTTATCAGATTCAAAAACAACATAAGGAAAACCCAACTCTATCTCAAGCTGAATTGTTTTAAACAAATTAGCTACCCTCAGCTGCCTAGGATTAATACATAAGGCTGGACCAAACAAAACTGGTTCAGTATAAAGGGCAATAAAATAGCAAATGCATTAAAGTCTCATATATCAGATAAATGACAACAAGGAAATGCAGCCCTTTGTACTATATATCACCCTCTTAACCAAATTATATATGGTAGGCAGAGAGTTATGTATAGACCTCCATAAGAAAACTTTGTCTTTAGGAGGTGCTTTTAATTTCCACAAATGTTTCCACTCAATGGGAGAAATAGCATTACTAACCTTCCTGACACCAGAACCATTCACAAAATTATATGCAAGAAAGAGAATCAGGGCCCTGGCCCTCCAATGGGAATTTGAAGAACTTCTCTACACTCCTGGTTGGTAAAACAGTGCCGCAACTTTTGAGAATATCCCATCTCACACCAATTTGGTAAAACATTGTGCTGCGACTTTCTATAAATCAAAACATCTTGGCCACTCCTACATTCCATCTCACATCCATTTGGAGAATCTCCCAACCGCTCAAAATGCTTGTCCATGCCCTAGAAGGAGAGCTACCCTTTCTATAATTGAAAAGGAAGAAAAGGAAGAATCAGGAAAATTTTTAATACCTGTACTCAAAGAATCAAGAAAACAATAGAAATCCTTGCAAAAGTCACATATAAGTTTATTTGAACTCCACTGCAGTGGGCTGCGCTCCTCCTTTAAGGAGCAAAGTGGAAATCACCCGTTCGACTCGTCCAACATTCACTAGAATAGATACTAACACTAACAGCTAATCATTTCTTGTGTCAAAAAAAAAAAAAAAAGCTTATTCATATCCCTGCAAACTCCCAAAAAGGAGATAGAAAACAGGTCATTGTAAATCATGGCAGTTATGAATGCATAGAAATTAAGAATTAAGCAGAGTCAATCACTCCAGCTACTGCCCATGTGCATCTCTTCTTCTTCTTCCCCTGTTTTGGCTAACTTCATAGGGGCACTTTTAAAGAACTATACTTTGTTCAAATGATCTGTAAGTTGGAAACAGTAGTCAGTTAGACTTTAATCCTAAAATTGACTTTTAAAACAAGGTTTTTTGATTCCTCGATTCTATTTGGCTAATATGGACTGATTTATAATAAAAAGGAATAGGATCCATTAATACATTAATTCTTGCATGCATGCTATATTCAACTCTCTTAACCAATCTTTCTTTCCCACTTTTTAACCGATTTCTTTCTGCTTTTCAAGATAAGACTGCTTGCGGGTTTAATACTGATACCTAGCTGGAAAGTAAATGCCATCATCAACACAAAAGGAGCAATTAGAATGTATCTATGCCTAACGGGTTTTTTTTTTGGTCCATAAGAGGCCTATTGGGTTTGAATTTTATTTTGCCAGCTTGTGGTCAACTTTGATCTTCCAGCTCTTTTTTTAGGCCAAGTTCAATTTACTGGCTTTAAACTCCATTTAAGTATTGCTTTGATGTTAACTATTTAGGTAATTTAATGTTAATTTTTTAGTAAAATAGAAATTTTTTTAGTTTAAATTATATAATATATAAATAAAATTTAAAAAAATATATCTTTCATTATATAATTTAAAATTAAAAAAATTACTATAATATAAACTACTCTTGTAAAGCACCATTATAAACACTTAACTATCTGGGACTGGGAAAAATAAAATTCCCATTTGAGCGGTGTTTTGGCTTGTACTAGGAACGACTAATGCCACAACAATTAACCAGAAACCCATGAAAGCTAAATAATATCTTGCGATATGACAGGTCTACAATTATTCAACTCTTTGCTGACGAGAGGTAATAACTGACTGAAAATTAACACTTAATGATGGTTTGGTATAAGCGAAACTTTAAATAGAAGTTTTACTAAAAAGAAATTATTATAAAAATATTATTTTTATAAATAAAAATATATAGATAAAATA